GCTAGCAGTACGTGGGTGATGATTCATAGGGATGAGCGTGGGTTTGGTTTGAACCCAGTGCCAGACTGGCCATAGATCACACCAGCCACTTGTGGGGCCCAAAGCAGCTGTGGCAGCTGGGCTGCCTCTTGAACCCGTGTTGCCCATTCACTTCACAGCATGGCTGGGGGCAGAGACTAGCGGTCAGCTGACCTGTGACTAGTTTCTCTGCGGCCGCCTATTCACAGCATGGCTGGGGGTCGGAGACTAGAGGTCAGCTGACCTGTGATGACCATGAAGGGGGAGGAGCTGGAGGAGACCCCAACTCATGATCTCGACATAGGTGTTACTGCTGCAGAGACCAAGGAGCCGTAAACAAAATGAGTACCACTGTCAGTGATAATGTTTGGACTACAGTCCTCAGATCAGCAGATGACCTTGATTTCCGCTGAGCCAGCGGGCAATGTACAGTGCTTTCCTGACCTTTTCTTCATAGAGCCTAATGGAGAAGACCCCTGACAGTCATCCCATCCCCCCAGCACTGCCACTAGTCCTATCCCCCCCAGCATTGCCACTAATTCCACCCTCTCCCTCCAGCACTGCCACTAATCCAACCGTTCCCCCCCCCCAGCACTGTCACTAATTCCACCTTCCAGCACTGCCACAAATTCCACCCTCCACCCCAGTACTGCCACTAATTCTTCCCTCCCCCCAGCACTGCCACTAACTCCACCCCCCAGAGCTGTCGCTAATTACACCCTCTCCCCAGCACTGCCACTGATCCCCCCCCCCAGCACTGCCACTCATACCAACTACCTACCAGCACTGCCATTCATCCCCCCCAGCACTACCACTCATTTCATCCCCCCAGCCACCACTACCACTGATCACCCCCCCCCCAGCTCAGTAAGCAATGGGTGAGCAGTATTAATGTGCAGTAACCTCTAGCAATCATGGAGCAGTGACTACAATTAATTAGTGAAGCAGGCTAAATATAACAATAACAATGGGCTCCTCAGTATAAAATGCCCGAGCCTATACTTTGTCCCGTTTCAGGCCTGTTTGAACCCATGTTTGTTTGTGCGGACCTAAATAAAAGCATTCAGAGCAAAACGTTCTTCCCTTTTCTCCACTAAAGTTGGAGTGATCAGCAGTAGGTTGCAGGGAGAATTTCCAGCATTTTAATGTATCTCTCCTACCAAAGTTTCCAAGTGGTTGTTCATGCCTCATGAACATGACCCAGTATTTGAAATTATTGTTCATCTTTCTTGAATGAAAATGCTGTATGTATGGCTATCTAATGAAAAAGATAAAAAAAAATAAAAACAAAGTAATGATATATGTCTAGAATGGGTCACTAGACATTTACCCACCAAGCCATAGTAAAAATATATATAAACCTAAAAGCAAATAAGTATTATATATTGTAGCTTTCCAAACTTTAAATAAGGTGGCTGCATTCATTTTCTTTTTCAGACTTGTTTCTCTTTTATTTTCACCTGGAAATCCCTGGGGGGGCTATGCTGAGTGGAAAGAACAATGGTTGCCACCTAAGCTGGGCTTCAAACATGTCTGCCTTTGTTTATCTCAATTACATAGAGGATAGGAAGATAAGTAGTTTTTTTTGGTGTATATGGACACTTTAAAGGACACTTTATTTGATCTGATCATTTATACAGTATTTTGGTCACTTTTTACATTTTTATCAGGATAATTGGTATGCATATCAAAGTACGTATATTATGGAATATGCATATTAACCTACTTTTTTGTGAGCTGCACATTTTGAGTTATATTTGTTTTGGATTGGGCATCACAGATCAGGGTGCAGGGTTTTTTCTTTTATTATATTACCTTTTTCTTACTGCCTGGTGCCTCCCGAAAGACAGAAGTCCGCCCCCCCCCATAGAAGTCAAGGGGGCTGTACTGTACATACAGTGGGGCAAAAAAGTATTTAGTCAGCCACCAATTGTTCTCCCACTTAAAAAGATAAGCGAGGCCTGTAATTGGCATCATAGGTAGACCTCATATATGAGAGACAAAATGAGAAAAAAAATCCAGACAATCACATTGGCTGATTTGGAAAGAATTTATTTGCAAATTATGGTGGAAAATAAGTATTTGGTCACCTACAAACAAGCAAGATTTCTGGCTCTCACAGATCTGTACCTTCTTCTTTAGGAGGCTCCTCTGTCCTGCACTCATTACCTGATCAATGGCACCTGTTTGAACTTGTTATCAGTATAAAAGACACCTGTCCACAACCTCAAACAGTCACACTCCAAACTCCACTATGGTGAAGACCAAAGAGCTGTCGAAGGACACCAGAAACAAAATTGTAGACCTGCACCAGGCTGGAAAGCCTGAATCTGCAATAGGCAAGCAGCTTGGTGTGAACAAATCAACTGTGGGAGCAATAATTAGAAAATGGAAGACATACAAGACCACTGATAATCTCCCTCGATCTGGGTCTCCACGCAAGATCTCACCCTGTGGGGTCAAAATGATCACAAGAACGGTGAGCAAACATCCCAGGACCACACGGGGGGACCTAGTGAATGACCTTCAGAGAGCTGGGACCAACATAACAAAGGCTACCATCAGTAACACACTATGCCGCCAGGGATTGGACTCAATCTCAAGGCGCCAACACTGAAATGGGGTGCGTGCACGATCTTACCGACTCACGTCTGCTTTTCATCCGCTGGTGACTCTGAACAGAACAAATGTCTCTCCAACAAGCATGCGGTCTCGCCGTATATGTTGCTTAGTTCCTCTGCTCTCATCAGCATTCCTGGCAGCAATCTCATCAGCATTCCTGGCAGCAATCTATCTCATGAGCTTCACTTAGCTGCAGCTCTGGTTACGGAGGGATGCTCCCACACCTGGATGTCATCAGATTCTCAGCTCACACGGCCCCCCTCATTCACCATTCTCCAGAACATGGCTGCTCTCTCTTCTTCCTGTTTCCTCTCATCTCTGTGTGAAAACTTCACATCTTCATGAATATAGAAATATCTATGCAGTCTGAGGCTGTGTTAGGAAAACAGTGACATCTTCTGTCTAAACTGCGGAATGTCAGTCAAAACATTTAATTTACACCACACAAGCAGTATTCAAACAATGAGAGCTGTTTTCCCATCTCACAGTAACAAAGGCTACCATCAGTAACACACTACGCCGCCGGGGACTCAGATCCTGCAGTGCCAGACGTGTCCCCCTGCTTAAGCCAGTACATGTCTGGGCCCGCCTGAAGTTTGCTAGAGAGCATTTAGATGATCCAGAAGAGGATTGGGAGAATGTCATATGGTCAGATGAAACCAAACTAGAACTGTTTGGTAGAAACACAACTCGTCGTGTTTGGAGGAGAGAGAATGCCGAGTTGCATCCAAAGAACACCATACCTACTGTGAAGCATGGGGGTGGCAACATCATGCTTTGGGGCTGTTTCTCCGCAAAGGGACCAGGATGACTGATCCATGTACAGGACAGAATGAATGGGGCCATGTATCATGACATTTTGAGTGCAAACCTCCTTCCATCAGCAAGGACATTGAAGATGAAACGTGGCTGGGTCTTCCAACATGACAATGATCCCAAACATACCACCCGGGCAACGAAGGAGTGGCTTCGTAAGAAGCATTTCAAGGTCCTGGAGTGGCCTAGCCAGTCTCCAGATCTCAACCCCATAGAAAACCTTTGGAGGGAGTTGAAAGTCCGTGTTGCCCAGCGACAGCCCCAAAACATCACTGCTCTAGAGGAGATCTGCATGGAGGAATGGGCCAACATACCAGCAACAGTGTGTGCCAACCTTGTGAAGATTTACAGGAAACGTTTGACCTCTGTGATTGCCAACAAAGGATATATAACAAAGTATTGAGATGAACTTTTGATATTGACCAAATACTTATTTTCCACCATAATTTGCAGATAAATTCTTTCCAAATCAGCCAATGTGATTGTCTGGATTTTTTTTCTCATTTTGTCTCTCATAGTTGAGGTCTACCTATGATGCCAATTACAGGCCTCTCTCATCTTTTTAAGTGGGAGAACTTGCACAATCGGTGGCTGACTAAATACTTTTTTGCTCCACTGTATGCAAGTAGCGGGAAATAAAGGCCAAGAAGTCAGAAGTATAGGATGTGTGCTGCTTGCAGAACCAGGTTAGCAAAAATGAATGAAAAAAGAAAACTAATGCAGCCACTACATCTAAGGACCGGAAAGCTGCAATATATTCCAATTTTGTTTTTTGGTTTAGATATGCTGCAAAAAGCGACTGAAGGCAGATAGGATCTTATTCTTGGTTAAGAATACCCATAATGCTCTGTGAATCTAGGGTCTCGGGTGCCCTTGCATTCAGGGCCAGTTCACACTACATACTTTTCAGTTGCTTTTATTCTGCATCCAAAATGCGCAGAAAGTAGGTTATATGGTTGCCAATATCATAGTTCACATCCGTGCTTACAGTTCCAGTGTGTTGCAGAAAAAAGTAGAACATGCTGCATTTTTTATGCACAGAACTGTACTGGAAAGCAGTGAAACAAACCAAAAAAGAGCTGGAACACAATTTGTCCCTATTTAAATTGAAGAAAAAGAGAGAGGAAAAAATGAACTGGAATGCATAAAAAACGCACTGGAACGTGTTGAAAATGCATAAAAAATGCACCAGAACGTGTCAAAAACGCACATGGACTGCATTTCTATAGTGTGAACCAGCCCTCAATGTTTAATCATAATATAAAGATTTTTATGCATATAACAGCAAAGATATTAAACCTTTTTTAAATGTATAATATGTTAATAATACCAACTGACCTAAGTCATTTTAGTTCCCATTTAAAGCTCCTTGACACATGAATTAATGTAAGTAAAATGGAGCTTATTACAATTAGAGATGAGCGAAGTATTCAAAAATTCGATTCGGCTGATTCGGCGAATTCGAGGAATAAATTCGATTCGAGGCGAATATATTCGCTGCAAATTTAACTTATAAAAGGGTGTTTCTAGGCTTCAGAGAGCCTTTATATTAGTGCAGAACACTGTACCTTTAATTTAAATGCCCTTGGAGTCTGCTGGGGAAGAGAAATAATACTGTCAGTCAGTATGACATGCAGATGAGTGCCGTCGATCTTAGAATCACCGCACACTTCACTCATTTGGGCAGTCACGGGGCCAAAACCAGAGTGTGGAGCCACGGTGTGGCGGTGGAGGCAGCAGCAATGGGAGGCCATACAGCACCCTATGACAAAATGGAACCCACCAGCAGTGTGAGGAGACCTGAAAGTGGCACATGGCAGAGTGTGGCGATGGAGACAGCAGCAATGGGAGGCCGTACAGGGACCCATGAGACACTCTGGACCTGGCAGCAGCATGAGGAGGCGGTACGGGGGCCCATGGCAGATTACGGGCCTGGCAGCAGCAATGGGAGCCCGTAATCTGCCAGCACCCTATGACAAAATGGAACCCACCAGCAGTGTGAGGAGACCTGAAAGTGGCACATGGCAGAGTGTGGCGATGGAGACAGCAGCAATGGGAGGCCGTACAGGGACCCATGAGACACTCTGGACCTGGCAGCAGCATGAGGAGGCGGTACGGGGGCCCATGGCAGATTACGGGCCTGGCAGCAGCAATGGGAGGCCCGTAATCTGCCAGCACCCTATGACAAAATGGAACCCACCAGCAGTGTGAGGAGACCTGAAAGTGGCACATGGCAGAGTGTGGCGATGGAGACAGCAGCAATGGGAGGCCGTACAGGGACCCATGAGACACTCTGGACCTGGCAGCAGCATGAGGAGGCGGTACGGGGGCCCATGGCAGATTACGGGCCTGGCAGCATCAATGGGAGGCCCGTAATCTGCCAGCACCCTATGACAAAATGGAACCCACCAGCAGTGTGAGGAGACCTGAAAGTGGCACATGGCAGAGTGTGGCGATGGAGACAGCAGCAATGGGAGGTTGTACAGGGACCCATGAGACACTCTGGACCTGGCAGCAGCATGAGGAGGCGGTACGGGGGCCCATGGCAGATTACGGGCCTGGCAGCAGCAATGGGAGGCCCGTAATCTGCCAGCACCCTATGACAAAATGGAACCCACCAGCAGTGTGAGGAGACCTGAAAGTGGCACATGGCAGAGTGTGGCGATGGAGACAGCAGCAATGGGAGGCCGTACAGGGACCCATGACACACTCTGGACCTGGCAGCAGCATGAGGAGGCGGTACAGGGGCCCATGGCAGATTACGGGCCTGGCAGCAGCAATGGGAGGCCCGTAATCTGCCAGCACCCTATGACAAAATGGAACCCACCAACAGTGTAAGGAGACCTGAAAGTGGCACATGGCAGAGTCTGGCGATGAAGTCAGCAGCAATGGGAGGCCGTACAGGGACCCATGACACACTCTGGACCTGGCAGCAGCAAGAGGAGGCGGTACAGGGGCCCATGGCAGAGTGGCGAAGCGTAAGCAGCTTAAATTGAAGGCCATACAGAGGCCTATGTTAAAAATAATAACATGTTTGGGGCATGATTCATGGCGGATTTAGTCAGTTGTGTCAGCAACTGGTGGTTTGAAATCCAGACTAATCCACGCCTGATTCATTTTCACAAACGTGAGTCTCTCCACACTTTGGGTGGACAGTCGTGTCCTCCGCGGAGTTACAATACCTCCTGCCGCACTAAACACGCGCTCCGATGCCACGCTACTGGCCGGGCATGACAGCCTTTCAAGGGCAAATTCAGCTAGTTGGGGCCAAAGGTCAAGTTTCGTTGCCCAGTAGTCAAGGGGATTGTCTACCTCGGTTGGCAGGGTGCTGTCCAAGTAGGCCCGAGCCTGTTGTTTGAGGTCCTGCTCCAGGTCCACCTGATGCTGCTGCTGCTGCGGCTGGTTAGTAGTTTCCTCACTGCGCTGGTGAAGAAAGCTACTCATCATCGACTGCAGACTGAGGCAGCTGCTGCTGGTGGAGCTGCCACTGCTCCTACCACCCCACCCCTCCCCTGCTGCCATGGCAGCGGAACGCGAGCGCACAGGGCCCACAGTGTCTGAGGATGGACGTTGGCGCAGAAAGGCAGAGACCAACTGACTACATAGGTGGTTTTTATAGTACGTTATTTTGGCCTCCCTCTCAGCAGGTGTGAAAAAGGCCACCATTTTTGAACGGTAGCGAGGGTCCAACAAGGTGGACAGCCAAAAGTCATCCCTCTGTCTGATGGTTATTATTCGGCTGTCGCTACGCAAGCAACCGAGCATGCTATGGGCCATTTGTGCCAAGGAATGCGAGGGACTCCCTGCCTCCATCTCCACAGCATACTGCCACGGTGCGTCTGGGTCCTCTGTCTCCTCCTCCTCCTCTACCAGATGCTCCTGCTCCTCCACTCCTGTCCGCTGAGTGGAAAAACCACCCATTTCACTCAATAATTCCTGAGCACCAATGTCCTCCTCTACCTCCTCCTCTTCTTCCTGTCCTGCCCCCACAGGGGTCATGTGGCGTTGAGATCTGTGCGCCACGTCTACCGCACCCTGACCAGCCATTGTTAACAGCATTTGTTCCAGGACGTGCAACAGAGGAATGACGTCGTTCATCCCATAGTCCTGCCGACTCACGAATAGCGTGGCCTCCTCAAAGGGGCCTGAGCAAGCGGCAGGTGTCACGCATGAGCTGCCAATGGCTGACATCTAAGTTACACAGGGGAGTACCTTTATCCGCTTGTAACATCAGGAAATCTGTGATGGCCTTTCGCTGTTCGTAAAGGCGGTCTAACATATGTAGGGTTGAATTCCACCTTGTTGCAACGTCACAGCATGAGGAGTCGGTACGGGGGCCCATGGCAGATTACGGGCCTGGCAGCAGCAATGGGAGGCCCGTAATCTGCCACACCCTATGACAAAATGGAACCCACCAGCAGTGTGAGGAGACCTGAAAGTGGCACATGGCAGAGTGTGGCGATGGAGACAGCAGCAATGGGAGGCCGTACAGGGACCCATGAGACAGATTACGGACCTGGCAGCAGCATGAGGAGGCGGTACAGGGGCCCATGACAGATTACGGGCCTGGCAGCAGCAATGGGGAGGCCCGTAATCTGCCAGCACCCTATGACAAAATGGAACACACCAGCAGTGTGAGGAGACCTGAAAGTGGCACATGGCAGAGTGTGGCGATGGAGACAGCAGCAATGGGAGGCCGTACAGGGACCCATGAGAGACTCTGGACCTGGCAGCAGCATGAGGAGGCGGTACGGGGGCCCATGGCAGATTACGGGCCTGGCAGCAGCAATGGGAGGCCCGTAATCTGCCAGCACACCCTATGACAAAATGGAACCCACCAGCAGTGTGAGGAGACCTGAAAGTGGCACATGGCAGAGTGTGGCGATGGAGACAGCAGCAATGGGAGGCCGTACAGGGACCCATGAGAGACTCTGGACCTGGCAGCAGCATGAGGAGGCGGTACGGGGCCCATGCAGATTACGGGCCTGGCAGCAGCAATGGGAGGCCCGTAATCTGCCAGCACCCTATGACAAAATGGAACACACCAGCAGTGTGAGGAGACCTGAAAGTGGCACATGGCAGAGTGTGGCGATGGAGACAGCAGCAATGGGAGGCCGTACAGGGACCCATGAGAGACTCTGGACCTGGCAGCAGCATGAGGAGGCGGTACGGGGGCCCATGGCAGATTACGGGCCTGGCAGCAGCAATGGGAGGCCCGTAATCTGCCAGCACCCTATGACAAAATGGAACCCACCAGCAGTGTGAGGAGACCTGAAAGTGGCACATGGCAGAGTGTGGCGATGGAGACAGCAGCAATGGGAGGCCGTACAGGGACCCATGAGAGACTCTGGACCTGGCAGCAGCATGAGGAGGCGGTACGGGGGGGGCCCATGGCAGATTACGGGCCTGGCAGCAGCAATGGGAGGCCCCGTAATCTGCCAGCACCCTATGACAAAATGGAACCCACCAGCAGTGTGAGGAGACCTGAAAGTGGCACATGGCAGAGTGTGGCGATGGAGACAGCAGCAATGAGGCCGTACAGGGACCCATGAGACTCTGGACCTGGCAGCAGCATGAGGAGGCGGTACGGGGGCCCATGGCAGATTACGGGCCTGGCAGCAGCAATGGGGAGGCCCGTAATCTGCCAGCACCCTATGACAAAATGGAACCCACACCAGCAGTGTGAGGAGACCTGAAAGTGGCACATGGCAGAGTGTGGCGATGGAGACAGCAGCAATGGGAGGCCGTACAGGGACCATGAGAGACTCTGGACCTGGCAGCAGCATGAGGAGGCGGTACGGGGGCCCATGGCAGATTACGGGCCTGGCAGCAGCAATGGGAGGCCCGTAATCTGCCAGCACCCTATGACAAAATGGAACCCACCAGCAGTGTGAGGAGACCTGAAAGTGGCACATGGCAGAGTGTGGCGATGGAGACAGCAGCAATGGGAGGCCGTACAGGGACCCATGAGATAGACTCTGGACCTGGCAGCAGCATGAGAGGAGAAGCGGTACGGGGGCCCATGGCAGATTACGGCCTGGCAGCAGCAATGGGAGCCCGTAATCTGCCAGCACCCTATAATGACAAAATGGAACCACACCAGCAGTGTGAGGAGACCTGAAAGTGGCACATGAGGCAGAGTTGGCGATGGAGACAGCAGCAATGGGAGGCCGTACAGGGACCCATGAGAGACTCTGGACCTGGCAGCAGCATGAGGAGGCGGTACGGGGGCCCATGGCAGATTACGGGCCTGGCAGCAGCAATGGGAGGCCCGTAATCTGCCAGCACCCTATGACAAAATGGAACCCACCAGCAGTGTGAGGAGACCTGAAAGTGGCACATGGCAGAGTGTGGCGATGGAGACAGCAGCAATGGGAGGCCGTACAGGACCCATGAGAGACTCTGGACCTGGCAGCAGCATGAGGAGCGGTACGGGGGCCCATGGCAGATTACGGGCCTGGCAGCAGCAATGGAGGCCCGTAATCTGCCAGCACCCTATGACAAAATGGAACACACCAGCAGTGTGAGGAGACCTGAAAGTGGCACATGGCAGAGTGTGGCGATGGAGACAGCAGCAATGGGAGGCCGTACAGGGACCCATGAGAAAGACCCTGGAAAAAAAAAAACCTGGCAGCAGCATGAGGAGGCGGTACAGGCAGGGGCCCATGGCAGATTACGGGCCTGGCAGCAGCAATGGGAGGCCCGTAATCTGCCAGCACCCTATGACAAAATGGAACCCACCAGCAGTGTGAGGAGACCTGAAAGTGGCACATGGCAGAGTGTGGCGATGGAGACAGCAGCAATGGGAGGCCGTACAGGGACCCATGAGAGACACTGGACCGTGGTCAGCAGCATGAGGAGGGCGTACAGGGGGCCCATGGCAGATTACGGGGCCTGGCAGCAGCAATGGGGAGGCCCGTAATCTGCCAGCACCCTAAGACAAATGGAACCCACACCAAGTGTGAGGAGACCTGATAGTGGCAAACATGGCAGAGTGTGGTGATGGTAGACAGCAGCAATGGGCAGGCCGGAACAGATACCCATGAGAGACCTCTGGACCTGTCAGCAGCATGAGGAGGCGTACGGGGGCCCATGGGCAGATTACGGGCCTGGCAGCAGCAATTGGAAGCCCGTAATCTGCCAGCTCCCTATGACAAAAATGGAACCCACCGAGCATGTGAGGAAGACCTGAAAGTGCACAATGGCAGAGTGTGGCGATGGAGAGCAGCAGCTAATGGAGGCCGTACAGGGACCCAGGAGACAACTCTGGACATGGGCAGCAGCATGAGGAGGCGGTACGGGGGCCCATGGTCAATTAACAGGTCCGGGCAGCAGCATGGGAGGCACGTAATCTGCCAGCACCCTAGGACAAAATGGAACACACCAGCAGTGTGGAGGAGACCTGAAAGAGGCACATGGCAGAGGTGGCGATGGGGAGACGCAGCAATGGAGCCGAACAGGGACCCATGAGAGACTCTGGACCTGGCAAGCACATGAGGAGCGTACGGGGGGCCCTTGGCAGATTAACGGGCCTGGCAGCAGCAATGGAGGCCGAAATCTGCCAGCACCCCAAAGGAAAAAAAAATTTTTTCCCCCCGCAGTGTAGGAACCTGAAAAATGGGGAAAAATGGGAGAGGTGGCGATGGAGACAGCAGCAATGGGAGGGGCCGGGACAGGGGCCCCCTGAAGATTCCGGGCCTGGCACCCGCATGAGGAGGGGGTACAGGGCCCATGGCAGATTAAAGGGCCTGGCAGCAGCAAAGGGGGCCCGTAATCTTTCCCCCACCCTATGACCAAAAAGGAAAAACCCCCAGCAGGGGGAGGGGACCGAAAGGCAAAAAAAGGGCAAGTGTGGGGGATGGAGACAGCAGCAAAAGGGAGGCCGTACAGGGGCCCCTGAA